TAGGTTTGCTTGTAACGTAAGTCGTTTCAGCATGATGAAACTCTCGAATTTTAAATATATAAATACATATATAATTTATCAATTGAAAAAAAAATCAAATATTTAATGCCGATGACATGTTAAACATAAATAAGAAAAATCGAAAGTATCTTATGTTTTAAATAGTAGGCCTATTATATACCAAGATTGCTGTTATGGGAAATGTGTGTCTTTCATACAATCATGATATTCTTTAAAAGTGTTATTAAGTTTACCAATTATTTAGTACCTATGTTAAATATAAACATTGAAAAAGAGACTTGTCGTGTAAAATACCTCTTCCTTAGCAAACCTGCAGACCTAGTGAATTTCCATTTACTTGGCTGGATTTACGCTAAAATATTTCCGTAAACATGACATATTTATAACATATTTAAATAAAACTATGTTTTTAGTACTGTAATTTGTTTTGCTGTAACAAGGAGGGTAATTAGTTTGTTTTAGTAAAATGTTGTTAGCTTGTTATAAAATAGATAAATTTACAAAATTTGATGGAAATACATCTATAAACAAGCAAAAATTGCGATATTTAACTTATGTTTCCTTCGTTGTAGATAGGAATTTACAATTTAAAGTTTTCTAACTTTTGTCCTTAACCATTTAGCTTACAACAACGCTTAAACTTACTCAACTATTTATTTTTTAAGTGCTGCAAAATTTTTCAGAAAGAAATTGAAAATTGTTGAAGGTCAAAACAAGGAAACCCCCATTTTTACTCCATAAGCTCCTCTTTAAAACGCATTTCTTGGCCTCTGGGGACCTCAAAACGAAACGTAAATCGATACCAGGGCTATGTTTTATCATGAGACCTTCAGTAATAGGTTATTCCCAATGTGAGAAATTCGCTAATATGATACTGTAAAGCATTTGACGAAGCCAGTCCTAATCAAACAAAACTAAAACGCTTTCTTTTTCAGTTTCTCGCAGCAGCCTTAGTCTCTGTGATGGGAGCTCCTAAGTTCCTCAAGAAGCCGCACAAGTTCTTCTGGAAGTTCCACCCCCTCATAAAGCCACATGGAGGGAAGTACCACTTGGTTCACCATGCACTTCACCATGCTCCCCTTCACCACCACGGGTAGAGAACTTCACTGAAGTTCCTCAAGCCCGCACCGCTAGTCTATTTGTTTGTATATATTCTGTTGATTATTGTGTAATCTTTTTAAGTTCTTTGCTTATTGTACTATGTAAATGTTTTAAAGCAGTTATCGTTTTTCGTTTTCAACCTTATCCTTCAAGTATGTTAAGGGTACATATTTTTTCAATGAGGTACCGGTAAGGTTTAAAATACCTAAAGACAATCGTCTCCTAAAAGCAAGGAATAAAGGTAGAATTAGGTGATTGTGAATCAGTGTGCATAAACAGTTAAAATTCATAACATAACCTGACATAATCATTGAAATAATCATTTACATAACCATAACATAATCATTGAATAACCTGCACGATGGATAAAAGATTTGGGAATTGCTTAGGATATTTTATCAAACCAATTTAACAAATAACAAAAACAGATTTTTCGAGCCAATTCATAAGTTATCAGTATACTTGCTTAAGAGGAAGAATAAATAGTTATTCATCTTAGAATTACGTAAATGTACCGGTTGTGTCTCTTTATGTGTTAGAAGTAGATCAATGCCTAACATGCAATTTGTTTTATCTTCAATTTTTCGTTGACTGGGATCACGAATATACGATAGCGTCACATATTTGATAAGTCAAACTCACATATTGTTCTAGTTATAACTAATTAAAATTGCTGAAGAATTTGTCTAAGCCTAGAAATATATCATGGGAGAATGTGTGATAACGTTATAAATTTGATGAACCAAACTCACAATATATCGTTCTGGTTAAAAGAAACTTGCTAAACTTGCTGAAGAATGGTTGTCAAAGCCTATGAATATATTATACTTTCTAGTACATGTAACATCAAAGCATCTGAAAGTTTGATTAGGTTAACGTAAAGTAGTTCACACTACTCAGACTTGGAATCTGTCTTCACAAACAAAGGTTAAAAAATTAACCTACAACTGAAAAACACAATAATACTATTACCACTTTATAATACTATTAGCACCAGTCACATTATAAGCTAAATTATCACCGGAAGGACGACCAACCAAATACAAAACGTTCTTTGACCTTACCAACCTAAACAGCTGACAGAAGTGAAGGCCAGATGTTACCTTGGACACAAGTGATCTGTCAGATAGAATAACGAAGGACCTTGTCTTTCAGAGACATCAATGAGCGGTAGGACTGAAGGCTTCAGACGGCACCTGTTACACACTAGACCAAACGTTCTAGTCATCACTGTGTTTCAATCAGTTCTTGCCCGTACCTGTGCTAGGTATAGGTATAATTCCCTTGTGAAAGTTATATGAATTATCCGATGATAAGATGGAATCTCTTCAGAAATACAGCCAATGTAAAAATTGAAAAAAGAAAGTACTAGGCCTACTTCAAGTCACTATATAGTCATGGGGACGCTAGGCAATATGGGGACGTTCCGGTACTGCTAAACTAGTGCTGCTATCAGCTGATATTTGACGAACTATTGCGAACTAACCATTTCACTCTACTTTGAGCTAGTTACCGTTGATATACTGACTATAATTTTCATGTTGCACACTTTTAAATATTTGACGATTTATTCTTTGGATTTTTGTTCGTGTCTCAACTGTGTTTTTACGTACCCAACATAGAGAGTTAAAAAAAGTAAGTGTTTGATCACTATCTTCAGTTATTAGGCTACAATTTGTCGTTTCTTCCATCCAAAAATCTCAAAGTGGAGGCTAGATAAGCCATGTTTGTTTTATTAATACAGTGGCGGGTCAAACGGGGACGTACATGGTAGGACAACATGGGGACGTCCCCGTTTTATAAGAATGTCCCTATTTTGGACAGATTGTAGGATAATAACGTATACACATTAAACACTTTTGGCATGAACCAGTGTTTTACTAGTTTATACGTTTTATAAATTTCTAACTGATATGCTTAAGGATATAAATATGGTAAAGTTTAATTTAAAAAACTTCAACTCCATAAATATGTTAAAATATCTATTAAGTTGAGAAATTCTTAGTTTTTATTTGCTATAACAATCTTTCTAACATGTTTAGTCACTTTAAGAGGTAATATGATGAGTTTGATGTGTTTTGTATTCAATAAAAATGCTTTTTCATTAAAAAAACTCAATTTTGCATGTGCTCTTATGGCGTCCCCATTTTACCAGAAAGGTCGTCTTAAACGGGGACAATGTATGCATTTAAAAAATATATAATTTTATTGTTATATCTAGGGAATAATTGTTCAAAAGCTACCAGTTTCTGTCAACACATTAGTGTAGTCTTGTTCTGTCTAAATTTCAAAAGTTTAGCAATATTTGTAAGCGAAATATAATGTGGAAACCACTAGAGTTTCCATTTTAGCCTACCTTCCCCTATTTTTAAATCATTATTTGGTTGCCGAGCTTAGCTAGGTATACATATAATTCCCATGTAAAAGTTGTATGCATCTTTCCAGGGATAAACTGGATTTCTTTTAGAAACACACAGTCATTGTAAAGCTTGGTACAAAAAATAATTAATCTACAGCTAGTCATCACTATTTTGTAATCGGTACTTGATTGCCAAGCTTTGCCGAGGATAACAATAATTCCCTTAAAAAGTTGTATGAACTCCCTTGTGAAATTCATAGAAGATATGTTGAATGTTTGTAATGGCAGTAAGAAACTTGACTTGTTTTCAGACGACAACTCCAGTATAATTAAAGAAAATACTAGGCCTACTGAAAAAAATACTTAACTCGTGTTTAAAATGTTAACATTGACATAATGTTACTCATAAGCACTATACGTCTATGAGGTATTTTATTAATATGAAGCAAGAATTTACAATGTCTCCTCTCTACAACTAAAACAATAATAAATTAATTGAATATTTTAGAGCGAAAAAATGTATTTTCTTATTTAATATGGATTACTATTATACTGCGACTTAAAGCTTACTCATTTAGTACCTATTTTGGCCATTCTTCTTATATAGTTTATCACACAGATATTTATAATTTTATAAGATAAGCATAAATGAGTATGAAAATATATACTCAAATAAATATTCTAATCTTTCCATTAAATTGTTGTTTCCTTATTACATTGAATCTATAAACTCTATAGTACAGTACTCTTTATAGTCAATGTTCATACTAAATTACCAACTTCCTCCATACTTTTCGGATATTCAGGTCCACTAAGCGATCAGATTTCAAAGTTTTCGTAAGAAACCTAAAGTAAATGCTACTTAAAAGTAAAAATATTAGTAAATGGCAGGAAGATTTAAATTTGAAACAAATCGTATGCTCTGAATTCATTTAAAAGCCATAAGATTAGGGTTCTTATATTTCGAAATACCGCCTTACTTAAACAAAATTAAAGAATAATAATGGAAAAACAATAAAAATTCTCATAAAATCTAGTGTTTCATTATAAATCACAATATGGTTCTAAGATCTAGTGCATGACTACTCTTCTAGACGAGTGATCCGGTTTAGTGGTAAAACGCGTAATTTCAGTCCCTGAGGTCCTGGGTTCAAATCTTTCCAAACACTAATGTCTTCTATCTACGTGATGCAATGATCCCTAGGCCTAGTCTAAGATAAAATGAAAAACAGGAGCGTATTATGCAAGCGTTCAAGGAATTGAAGATAGGACATACTAGATATATAATAAAATCAATCAATACCCTGAAACTTAACCTCAAAACCCACCTAAGACACCAACAGTATATGAATACAAAATACATATTCCTCACCCCCCTCCCACCATCAAAACTCGTTCTGTAGAAGGAAAACCCGAGTACGAAGAAGACCGTAACAATAAACAATCTGGAAGCGCGTGCAATTAACACAAATTGATTGGACCATTTACCAGAGTACCCCCACCCCAACTAGTAGTCCCGGGCTGCGAGGGTATCCCGTCACGTGATCAGCTGACCGATGACGTCATTGGCTGGGTTATAAGCCCTCAGTTCACAAAGCTCGTGACTGTCTCGCAGCTATGAAGTGGGTAAGTTCTTTACATTTCAAGGTTAAGGATTCAACAGTGTATTTGTTTGACACAAGGACTCCTATTGGAGCTTCCGTGTGCTTTGTGTTTTAATGGTTATTTTTTTATCTTTGAAGTTTAGGAAATTGTTTTGAAACTAAAAGAACACCAATGATACTGTAAAACTTTCTTGAGGTGATTTTGTCTGACTAGCATAATCTAAAATATATTATACTGTAGCTTGAAATATCCAGTTAATTGACGAAATCAAAATTACTGCTTTGGATCATAATCATCTAATTTAAATGGTTTGATGGACCAAAACTGGATCCAACTGTCCTTGATCTTGGGCTTTTAATTATTGGTCTTTGTTAAAGAAACTAGTGTTACAGTAGGCTAACGAAGCTAAAGAAGGCACTTTACTCCATTGTATAGTCATATTTAAGCTTAAATAGGACCCATTGTGTACCCATCTTAGTTGGTAATAATAATGTTTTTTTTATATACCTTTCGTGCGTAAAAAAGAACATGTATCTTAAGATTTAAAAGCCATGATCAGAATTTTTTCCTCAATGCATCAAGGAATATAAAAATTGTCTAGGCCTAATAATTGTAATTATTATTTTTGAATCAATGGTAAATTGTAACGTTAAGTTATTTCTGTTTGGTTGTTAAATAAATAGGTTGACACGATATTTTCTTACAGTTAGGCTATGCTATAAGAAATAGAAATAAAAACAGACTTGAATAATTTAATTGTGTTTTATAGTGTAGGATTAATGTAGCATACAAAATAATCTTCGTTCGTTACATAGATGCACAAACTGGGAAGAAATGTGATCACTATACAAAACTATGTCAGTGGAAAACAGTATATGTTCGATTCAGACAATGTCCTTACTCTATTTTTATATATTTTTTTTTAATAATAAGTATACGGCACCAAATAAAAACCATATAGTTTGAAATAAATTATTAGATAAATAATTTTAATGCAGTCTAACCAAACACTTTCTCAAATAACTATTTCTTCCCATTACCCTAACTTCACTATCGTTTAAGGGTATCTCAATGATTGCCAATAGTTTCAATCAGTATTTTTTCAACTTCTTTTAGACTCAATGTCAGCAAAGTCGGTGAAATGAGTTCTTTTTAAGCCTTGTCGATGTCATCAGTGATGAAAGCATATAAGTTTCATATTAAAGGATTGAGGTTGGTGTAGTATTAAAAGTATTATGTGAAATGTTGATATATTCGAAAACTTTACCGTTTAACCTACTTTGACTTTATTCCTGTATTAAAGAGACTTGTAAATCACGAAAAAGACGTACCTCCCGAATAAGTAAATTATGTGTTGGACCCATACTTGCATACTGTCAACGGTTAAATTAGCATGCATCATGAATAATAAATGAATGACTGCTGGTTGATTTCCAAAAATAACAAAAAAACATTGTAACAATTTTCATTTTACAGATTCGTTTTCTCTAATGAATACTATTTCTTCTCAATGTTCATATTAAATTTATGTCAATACAATTTTAATATGAACTAATTATTATGTAATTTTTTTAAACAAACCTATTATGATGAAATATTGATACAAGTGTATTTAGTAAATTGAACTGTTTTTACGTTAAATGATATTTAGTTAGTTAAAATCAACATCTATATAAAAGAGTACGCACTATTAAAAACGAAATAAAATTTTAATTCGCTTTTGATCAAGTATATCAGCTATTAATAGTATTAAGGTATTATTTAAAATACAAAATCAAGTTAACAATGAAAAGTCTGGTAAAAATAACATATTTATTATTTTAACTTATATAAAATAGCAAATATTGATTTCAATCGAAAACCTTCAATAATGTGACCAATACAGTTTCTATCAAGGCCAAGTTCGAAAGCTTAACCATAATGTTGAATTATAAGAGTATCACATGCTAATTGAGTTTGAGTGATTTGTCACAACTAAATATAGCTTGAGAGTCATCAAAGTTTTGTTTTTGTTTTCGTACCCTAAAACCAGTTCTTGCAAACAGCTGGTCATGACCTCATGGAATAAAGTAAGTTCCCGAGGAGGAAAAGTCTACTCGGACGTGAAACTGGTTTGTAGCTTACAGAAACCAGTTACACTCGGAGGAAAATATTGCAAGATGAGAATACAAAAACCATAAATGCAACGAAGCGGATAATTTACTATTCTAATGGGTTATTTATATCTGTTAAATAGAAATTCTGTTTCGTTTACGTTTCACAGCCTAAGATAGCTGAAACGATTTTAATTTAATGTATGTTGTCAGTTGGTGTGAACAGAGTTAAACAGCAGCATGAGCATCGATTTTCATGCTTTTTGATGGCATGGGACTCGCAATGTCTGTCTCTATTCATACTAGGCTTAAAAGTACCAACGTATTTGTGGTTGAAATTTTTAATTAAGTATTATATTAGTTTATTATTATGTGTCTATCGATGACAGCCATTATGTTGATTTATGCTGTTTTCTTAGGAGCACTAGAGCACCAATCACGATTAAGCTCTTCTCATACAGTTACCTGACAAAGTGGGCTTCCTTGCACTGATTATAGCACACAAAGTAGTTAATTGCTGCATTTACTTACTTTTGCGCACTCATATTTTGCCACACTCCAGTATTTAAACCAAACAATACAAAACAGTGTGCATTTATTTATGAACGTAATCCATGTACGCTTGAAAATAAGTCGGCAACACCATAAAGATATGACTACGAGCAGCTGGTGTAGAGTTTACCATTTCGTTCAACGCTTGGGTTTAACCTAACCTAAAAACGTGTTGTATAGTGTTTGAAAGACTAATTATTTCTATGCTTTGTAGAAGCTGTATGAAAAATATAATGTGTAACACGAGCGCAAAGTGCCTTTGCTGCACTAGTTACACAAATAACTATTGCATCACTCCGTACAAAAAGTAGAAAATTTTTGATAATAGCTTTTTTATAATAAAAAAAGTAAATCAGTTCTAAATTTACCCGTTACGCGCGCTATGGGCTTATTACGGTTTATTTCTATTATTGAAATTATATGTTCTTTCTGTTTACCACTAAACAATGTGAACATAAAAATTGATAAGTTGTCGTGTAAATTTTGTTTAAGCGTTTTGCTTTTTATTTTTATTTTAATATAATAGTAACACGCATTTCATACTTATACGCCAACCCCGTACGAAGGACGGATACTCTGCTAGTAAATAATAAATAAATGATTACAGCAATAAACATAGTATAAAAGCTAGTCTAGAATATTATCGTCGGCTGCAAGACTTTTTTTATTAAAACTTAATTTCTAAAAAACTGAAACCCTAAACTAAAGTTATGGCTTCGACATTCCCTAGTTCACAAAATTATATTTCTTTCAACACAAAAATCATTATAATCCGTCAAGTGGTTGATTCGGAATCGTGAAATAAAAAACCCTGTCACGTTTTAATATATGATTTGGAAATATTATAGTTTTAAATTTACCAAGGTCTGTTATTTAATGTGAAAGTTTTTGTGTCTTGATGAAAAGTATTGTTTACTTGCTCCAATTATTCCCGTCCTCGTTTTCGCCTCTCACGTTTAGTGTACCTGTGTTCGGCGTTGCCTGAAACTTGAGCACCTGTAAAATGCAACTTTCGGTACTGGCAAGGAAATATAATATTTTCTGCACTCACTCGATTTTTTAAGAATATCTGGCTTCTATTGCCTTGCATAAATTATTCGTGAGTAAAATATTAAACTGTAAAAATATTGAAAATAGTATTAAAAGTCCGTTTTGATGTGTATTAAATGCTTTTCCTCCTGAGTTTTACCACGTACGTCATCTATCAAACCAATCAGCTAATAAAAGAAATATTCTGGCTACAAACTATCACTGAAGACAGAAAAGTGACAACACCGGCCTACCGAAACAGCTGTTGCACTACATAATGGCGCTTCTGCGCAGTACCTCAAATTCTTTAATAGAACTCTTACTTTTCTTCTTTACACTTACACATGGCAGTTTGTACAAATGTTATAATTATGTTGGTGCATTATTGTTATACATTTATGTCACGCGTTCAATGTTACATATTAGTTTTACAATTTTTAACTTTAATAATGTTGGTTTCAGGTATTTCTTGTAATTTTTGGACTGGTGGCAGTTGCGCAATGTAGACCATCGAAGATTGAATTCCCTGAACATGAGGGGGAAGATCACAAGGGACATCATGGTCATCATGGAGCACAGCATGGGGAGCACCACGGACCTTCCGGTCTGATAGGAAAGCCAGGGGGTCATGGAGATCATGGAGGTCCCGGAGGAAAACCACATGGTGAAGGGCTTGGAGGACCTGGACACGGAGGTGGTGGCGAAGGAGGTCAATTTGGAGGTGGAACTCAAGGAGGGATTGGTGGAAAACCAGGAGGTGGAGGAGGTCAATACGGAGGAGGTTCTCAAGGAGGATTTGGTGGAAATCAAGGAAGCGAAGGAGGTCAATACGGGGGAGGTTCTCAAGGAGGGATTGGTGGAAAACCAGGAGGTGGAGGAGGTCAATACGGGGGAGGTTCTCAAGGAGGATTTGGTGGAAATCAAGGAAGCGAAGGAGGTCAATACGGGGGAGATTCTCAAGGAGGGATTGTTGGAAAACCAGGAGGTGGAGGAGGTCAATACGGGGGAGGTTCTCAAGGAGGATTTGGTGGAAATCAAGGAAGCGAAGGAGGTCAATACGGGGGAGGTTCTCAAGGAGGGATTGGAGGAAAACCAGGAGGTGGAGGAGGTCAATACGGGGGAGGTTCTCAAGGAGGATTTGGTGGAAAACCAGGGAGTGGTCAGAGTCAAGGTGGGTTTGGAAGCTCGGGGCAGAATGGTGAAGGCAGTTTTGGAAGTGAAGGAAGCTATGGTGGAGGTGGATTAGGAAAACCGGGAAGCCAAGGAGGTCAATACGGAGGTGGGAGTCAAGGAGGGTTTGGCGGAAAACCAGCTAGTGGTGGAAGTGGATTTGGAGGCAAACCTGGATCTTACGGAGATGAAGAGAGTTTTGGAGAGATCCCAGGAGCAGCCGCGAAAGAAGGTGGATATGGAGGGAAACCAGGATCAGGTGGAAGTAGTGGAGGATTCGGTGGGAAACCAGGTTCTTTTGGAGGAGAACAAGGATTCGGAGGAAAGCCTGGGTCCAGTGGGAGTCAAGGAGGTTTTGGCGGAAGGCCAGGTTCAGGTGGAAGTGGAGGTGGATTTGGCGGTAAACCAGGCTCATTCGGAGGAGAACAAGGATTCGGAGGAGAGCAAGGTTTTGGGGGAGAACAAGGATTTGGAGGAAAGCCTGGGTCCAGTGGGAGTCAAGGAGGTTTCGGTGGAAAACCAGGGTCAGGTGGAAGTGGTGGAAGTTTCGGAGGCAAGCCAGGGGGTGGTCACGGAAGTTCAGGTTTAGTTGGAGAACATGGAGAAGGAGGTTTTGGGAAACCAGGGTCTGCTGGAGGTGCTGGGCATTTTGGAGGCTCTAGTGGTTCACATGAAGGATCCCTTGGGGAACATGGTGAAGGAGGATTTGGTGGGAAACCAGGAAAACCTGGAAGTTCAGGACACTACGGAGGATCAGAAGGATCGCACAACGCTGGGGCGGAACATGGTGAAGGAGGTCACGGAAGTGCAGGAGGATTTGGCGGGAAACCAGGTAAACCTGGAAGTTCAGGACACTACGGAGGTGGTCCAGGATCACACCACGAGGCAGGACTCCATGGACCTCCGCACCATCATGGACCTCCTCCTCCTCACCATCATCATGGACCTCCTCCCCCCCACCATCACCACGGGCACCCGCCACACCACTGATACATCACATCAGCTGACTGAACATTACAGACTGAAACTATTTAGCTTAGTAAATTTGCATACGTTTCTAACAAGTTGGGATAAAAGTTTAAGCTTCGGTCAATTTTACAGTAATTTTTCTTTTACTCGTTTTACGTAAATGTTGTGTAACTTAAGAATTGTATCTCGTTTTCTCTTTGGTACTGCCAAAAAAGGTCAGAATTTCATTCAATTTTTCTTTAGCTGACCGATGAATGTACGTTTATGGATTAAAAATTCCACAGTATAACTGTAATTGTGAATCTGAAGATTAAAAGACATTTATTTTTTAATTTTCTTAGTTATTTGGACAAGAACCTGGGATCCTTGTATTACATTTGTATTAAAACCAAAAATTTTCGACACTTGAATAATATCTATTACATAATTATTTCAAGAAACAGTCAAGCATATTTCTATTCTAATTATATCGCTACCCTCGCCTTAATTAATATTTCTGTGGACAGTAATGGTTTTACTATTATGTTTTTAATTTCCTGGAATGCATCTTACATCTGAATAAAGCTTTAGATTTAGTATTCTTGCACATCATTGAAGCCATAAAGATTAAATGCTTTCCGAAATTGCAATCACCGGTAACAAAATAGCTCATTTATTTTAGAACAAATTAAATAGTACCAAGTAAAGCACGTGTTCCTAGATTTCAGTTTATAAGAGAATGTGTGATTATGGTAACATCATTAATGTTTTGAACTTCAGTACTATTTTACAAGTTTAGTCAGTCTTGTCAAATCACTCTCTTTAATTTTTAGTTATCAAATAGTTGGTATTGGAAGAATTGACACAACTCTGGTAAAAAATAAACACACGTAAACGTAATTTAAAAACTTTGGGTGAATGAAGACTCTTATTGACTCAGCGTCAATTAAAAGTTAATTCGAGAATTTGTGACTGTATAGGGTGAATTAAGCTAAAAATGGCAAAACTTATATTCTGATCCCTAGTGATATTTTCAGTTACAATTTTGAAATATGCCGACTCTTTCATGAAAACAATTAAAATAAACACGTGACATTTTACGAAATATGTTCGTTTACCTCAAAGATTGAATATTTCATTTCTTTCTTTTGTTAACTTAACACATTCCGCAAACCTATAATACATTGCGCAAAACGAGGAAATGGAATTTCCTATAACCAAAAACTATTTTTAATTGCTTATGATCCATTCCTCAAATCTTATTAGCAATTCTTAGATTTGGATATTCGCCATAAATATTTTTATTCGATAAAACACATAGAAAAAAGGTAAAATATTATCAAATTGTATGTCTTAAACTTTTATTTGTCCTAATTATGTGGGAAATATTTAATTTTTATTTCAAACCTAATACGAATGTGTTAGTTCAAATCTAGATTGTACGACAAAAAATAATGAACAATTAGTACTAGGTCATGGCAAGGTAGTTTGCTCAGCGTGTCACTTACAAGATAAGCAAATGAAGTTGAGTTTTCCCAGCTAATTGGTTAACGAAGGAAGAACTTACTATAATTAACTAGGCTGCCAGTTTGTATCTTAACTACTCCTTTAACCGCTTAGTTATGGCGGTGGTTTCATATATATTGTTCTCTACAAGCACTGCAACTACTAGAAAGCCGGAAATAATGAAATTCATATGTAAGTACAAAGACTTTAGGTTTAGGTTAGGTTTTGTTAAAACAATTTATAAACTTCTTCTAAGATATTAAAATAAAGCAACAGTTTGTCATGTACATTTTTTAATACTTAAAAGTTGTATTCAAACAGTAAAAAATTTGCCAATCCTTTAATATGGCTGTTCGATTAGCCAAAACGTAATTTTACAGTTTTTTATTTTAATATCATATTTAGATTCATGCCCCCATCATGTTGAATCAAATTTTGCTCAAAGATTCTCAGAAATGCTCAACAATATGATTTGATATATCCTAAAACGTCTTATGGACAAACGCAAACCTCATAAGTTAAACGTTAATGTAAATGGTGGCAAAAACCAACACCCACATATAAAAAATACTAATCATTTAAATTATTAAATGTCTATACTACTCCTAAACGTTTAGCTTAGTGATAAAGTATTACAAATATTTTCAAAAAGATGTTTATTTTAACTTAGAAAAGACATTTCAAATGTTTATAGGCCTATCAATAAAATCAACAATTAAACAAAACTATTCAAGAAAAACATAATTCATGGAAATAGTAGATTATGTTTCACGGATAACATTCACATTATTAAAATAAAGTGTCGAAGCACTAATTTTGAAGGTTTTAGATATTTATAACGAGTAAAAGATTGAACACATTGTTTGAATAACATAGAAATAAATCATCAGGTTTATTTTCTAAGTGAACTCACAAAACATTAACAAAAGAAAAATCCTTATAGGCTAAAAATGGTAATACACATACAAAGTTTCTGATCTTAATTGTTATTTTGGTGTAATTCAATATAGCATTAATATCTTAACACTAATAGAATGTACACTAAATTAGGACAACAAAGAAGCTAAACAAAACATTTGGTGAACTTAAAAAGACAAAGGGAATCACATGATGTGGCGTGAATTCTTTTGAACAGAAACGTGGTTAGGCCTAATAATAACGATAAATAATACATTTTACTAAAAATATTCAAAATTATATTTTTTTAGGGATGAGTCCTTATATTTTTAATGTGTCTTATCAATATCTTAACATGTACCTATATAGTTTTTCTTAGTCAATACCACTCCAATGATATAAAAGTTGGGGTGAGTTCGAAGCTCCCGTAGTCACCGATTCAATCCTGAAGAAGTAGTTTTATGTGGTTTGAAACTGGCCTCCGATTTCCTTAATGAACTATTGATCCTGTCTCAGGAAACAGCTGATAATTCAGCAGCCATATATCATATATCCATATGATCATATAGTCAGCTTTAAATACGCAATTGCTTGTGTGTCACTACCTTAAAGAAAATTACATAAACTAGGTGTACAATGCAGTTGTCTGCTTGCAATATTGAGCGGAGCCAGCATATTAATTCAATGTCAATGATATATTTGGTTCGCATAAATGTAATGCCTATTTACAGATTCTAAAGTCAATGGTACGTCCAGTTCACGTAGACGGATTGTTTACTTGTAGTATCCAAACTCAATGGTGCATGTAAATGAATAATCTACTTGCAGTATCCTAAATCAATTGTCCATTTATTTCGTTCATTTAGATAAAATGCCGAATTGCAGTATCCGAAGTCAATGGTTGGCTTAGGCCTACTTCTGCTTCACTTATATGGGATGTCTATGTGCAGTATTCAAAGTACGTCAAATGATACGTCGGGTTCATGTCAAAGAATTGTCTAATTGCAGTATCGAAACTATGAGCAAAGATTACATATGCTAACGCAAAATTTTGCGTTAGCATATGTAATCTTTGCTATGAGTGTTATATTTGGTTCACCTTAATGGAATTCCTATTTGTAGACTGCAAATAGGGATTGCAGTGCATATTCAAAGTCTACATTAATGGCACGTCTTGCTCACATAAAATACTGAAAAAGTTATTTACAGAATCCAAACGCAATATGGTGCATTCACCTAATTCTGGCAACCCTTATGGTTATTCATTTTGTAGTAAATTATGCTCAATGCTATTAATCAAAAGCAGGAGTGTAGGATAAGAGAAGTTAAAGTCAATGATATAAGAGCTTTGCTACGCTCTGCTCAATAATTTCTATATCCTGCAAATGAATCATGGCAAACCTATGCGATACCTGCATTATTAAAAGGCAATAACGATTATTATTTGAGATCGCAGGTTCGAATCTCCTCGGCGGCCTTAAAATTTTGCTCCTGATTTTGTTATAATATGATTTTCTCTTAACTTCACTGATCAGTTTTTTTTTAGACATTTATAACTTAATTTTGTGATAAGAATGCATTTTTTATAAATACATTAACTTTTTGTGGTAATCATTTCCTAACAGCGAATAATTGAGATAGGCTAATCGATTTTTAAAATTATCAATTCGTTTTTAAGTATAGACATATAACTTAGGTCTAGTTTTATTTTAGCAGTTAAAAGTAAGAAATATATTGTCAAGCACTTTCAAAAGCAAAAGCAGGAGTGTAGTATAAGAGCTTCGCTCGCTCCGCTCAATAATTGGTCTGCTTCTAGGCCTACAATTTTCCCTCTAATATTTATTTCTTATAATGAATGTTTCATTTAATATTAGTATACTCTCATCCTTCCAAATAACATTATTTTCACTTAATCATTTAAAATCAATCGCACGTTTCAGACGTAACCATGTTAGCAATATTGCTGTCGCTCGACGTGGCCACAGGATCTTACTACAGAACCACGACCACAACCACGGAAGAACCCACAACCACAGAAGACCCCACAACCACTCCCGAGCCTACAACTCCTGCCATGTACTACAGACAGGACACAACCACGGAAGCGGTAGACACTACCACAACCCCTCCAGCAACCACAGCTCCAATGTACTACAGGCAGGATACAACCGAGGCGGTAGACACAACCACAACCGCTCCAGCATCCACAGCACGGCCGTACTACGGAAGAAAGTAGTTGCAACCACTTCCAAGTGGTTTTGTGCTGATGTACTTCAGCTGAGAATTAAATTGTTTTCACAAATTCGTTTTCGTTTCCTGAAAGTGTACTGGTTCTTAAAGGATGATCGTGATTGGTTTTATATTTTAAACGAATTAATTTTGGTTATAATTAAAACCTGGTGAGCTTTTAAGCTCAATTTGACGTTCGTGTATGAATAAAAGAATCATTTTAAGTAAAGGACTCGACTTATAGGTTGTTGCAGATGTACCGGTACGTCACAATATTTTTTCGATTGCTGACAATAGGAAGATAATTTAAGAGTGCAACATTTGACTTTTTAACATTTGATGGTAAAAGGTAAAGGTAAGACCTTTTGAAGCATGTAAATCATTTTCGATTCAATTACTACGGATTGATACTAAAAGCTATATTAAACTCTAAGGCCGTACTTATTACGTGACAAGTCAACAAAGTTTGTAAACTGTACTTTTTATTTTTCATTCGCAATAAACTCCCATACAAAAGAACAATTAATTGTGAGTTCACTGTACTTTGTACATATATGGAAGAACATGTGTATATACACGGTAAAAAAACGGATATTTTTCTTATGCTTGTTTTATAAAATACTAGCTGCTGTACCCGTGCTCCTCGACGGGAAGAAAATTAATTTTTGAAGAACGGGTGTCTCCTTAACAACATAATATATCTTGATAGTTAAAACTATCTATCGGATGATACAGCAACGGTTATAGCATCTTTTTTATTTTCAAAATCAACTACTTTGTTTTAGAATAAGTAATCAATGACAAACATTTAGAATAAACAAACCTACCACATAGATTTGTAAAATATTATATTTAATTTATTAGGATCAGCTGTCTGAAATAATTGTTAAATAAGCATTTGGCAGTTCTGCTTGTTTACATTAAAATGTCAACTCAAAGGTAAACATGAGTTTAATCCATATTTACTTTTGGAAACCTCGCCTCAAAACTTTGGACCTTCAAGGGGTGTTGCCCTAGAGGAACTCAGGGAAGTGAATAGGCCTAAGACATTCCAGGATATGTTGACCATCTTTGTGCTTAATTTTGGCTGCGTCAGTTTAGTATTTTAGTCGTGACAGCCGCATAGACAGACGGATGGACAAACCATATCTATTTTGCAAGCTTGTTTGAAAAGTAATTGAGGAACATATATAAAGAATGTATATTTATGAAAAATGTATTCAATTTATTCAATTTACACAGTACAAAAGCTTGAAAATTCAATTATTTAAAAAACAATAAAATTAGTGAAATTATAAATTCAAAATTCTTTAAAGTTAAAAGTCCAAATTCTTGAAGGTTCCGTATCACCAAGCGTTTCCTCCAAACCCAGTACCGGCTCCGTAAGGTGCAGACTTCTGGTTGAAGGATCTTCCTTGGTTGCCACCAAACTGACCACCGAGCCCCTTATTCCATCCTGATTGACTTCGACCTCCAAATCCTCCTTGTTGACCTTGGCCCTGGCCGTGGGCGAAACCTCGGCCGTTCCCGAAAGATCCCTGGGGTCCGAAGCCTGGACCTCCTCTACCGCCGAAGGTTCCCGCCCCGTAGGGCAGCTGCTGGCCTGCCTGGTATGCGGAGGGTGCTCCGGCCGCTGCGCTGGCGTAGCTGCTTCCTCCAAAGCCTCTGGAACCTCCGGAGCTACCGTGGCCTCCAAAACCTCCACCGAATCCTCTGGAACTTCCAAACCCTCCTGGACTTCCAGAATTGCCATAACCTCCTGATCCGCCATGACCGCCCCCTTGGCCTCCCAGGAAGCCTGGCTCTGGCTCGGCGAGCACACAGACTGAGGCTGCTACCATCATGACTACTCGTACCTGCAATATTTTATGTTCAAAATTTTTAAATGGCACATAGGGTATAAGGTTTACAAAACAAACTTTATGTATTAAGTATAACTGTGTGCCTAGAAATTCTCACGTTTTAACAGAAATAGTTTTAATTTCTTTTGCAAAGGCCAAGTTATAGTTTTACAAAATGAAAATGGAAGGAGTCATAAACACTCCAGGATATAGAGTATCCTCAACTCAACTATATTCTTAATATAGTTAAGAAATTCTGCTAATATGGAAACGAAATCCTGTTTGTATAAATACTGTAAATGTTAACATGTTCGACCTAAGTAGGGAGAGCAATGTTGTTAAAACAAGTAACGCCTATATTTCTCTTATCTTCAACTTAAACTATGCATTTTAGTAAATCAATCAATCAACCATGCAATCATATACAGTTAAAAAAAGTAGGTTGAATTATAAACCATTGTATTTTTATGTTTTTGAAAAATAAGAAAGTAAAATAGTATTTGCCAAATATTTTATTACGGCATACTGTTCGTCTCATTACATAGAACATGTACAGCTCGAAAAATCTAGTGTTTCAAATTTAATAGCTGGGAAATCATATTTAACTAATGATTATAAATAATAATAGCTAATGTTGTGACTGAGAAGTCTCTTTTACTACTTATTCAAGTTATAAAATATTACCAAAAGAGGTTTCTTATGTTTAAAATATTAGTTTATTTCAGTTTTTAACGGCCCTTCACCAATTTTTTAAAATAATCAGTTATTTACATTCCCAAAGATTTCATAATAAAATCCGTTGTTCAAACTACTGCTCGTAAAAGGATAAAATTCAGATTTAAATTCACAATAAATTGCCTCGTTAATACGTTTTGTCCTATTCATGGTCTACATATCAATTTATGGAAAGTTTGCTTTGTATCTTTTAATTTTAACAGTAATCAAGCTTTAATTTTCTTTCGATCTCGAAATATATACTAACGTGTTTTCTTAAAATACATTATAAACAACTGCGAGTAGTACCAAAACTTAGCTATTCATATTTTAAACATTGTATTAGTAGTTAACAATGTATCAACTTTACAAAAAAAAATTAGAGATCAACTAAAAAAAAAACATCCAAGAATCATTCGAAATAGTAGTTTTCGTTACTAGTCCCTAAAGTAGGCTTTTTGGGACGATATAGTGTTTAACTATTAAGAAAATTCTATTAAGTCACAAAAAAACATTTTAGGACGAGTTACGAACGATATTTTTCATTACATTGTCATATATTATAGCATAAAATACATAATATAGCCAAACTTTTTGATTAAAAAGGCGTACTTTACCAAACAAATCGAACGACAAAGTTTGTTTATATTGTTGAAGCATTATAAGGGATCAGAACAGCTGATTTGTTTTTGAGATAAGCTTTGACATAACCATATGATTCGAGTCCGTAAAATGTTACGGACTCGTCCGCAAAAGGCTATCTTTAGGGACTCAAAACGATCCGTAAGACAGCTGTTTTTGAGACAGTGTAACGAAAATATGTTTTTGATTTAAAATGTTAAAGAGAATATAAAAAAGGTATTATTTCTAGACACTCACGGAATTCATGGCTGTAGCTGAAGCTAGGAGGCTGAAGACGAGAAGGTGAGAGAACTGTGAATGATGGGACCACAGACATCTTTATATATACACACCCTACAACAGTGTAAAGGGCCAAGGTTGGTACTACTGTCTCAGGGACTCAGCTGACTGATACACATCACCTGTCACGTCCCGTCTATTATGGCGGGAACTCTTGTGCGAAAATTTGATGCCTTGACGTCACCAGAAGATCCTATTCGAAGGTGCTATTTGTAATTAAAGTAGTTTCTATTGGAATTCAGAATGTTTTTTGGGGAAATTTGGAATTCAGGATAGTACAAATTTTCAATTTAATTTTGAATTATAAAAAAAAAAAATGGAATGGTTATGTTGCCAGCTGATCAAAGTGACGGAGAAGAAGAACGGAAACTACCTTCAGATCATTATTTGAACCTTATTTCTTGGAACAACGAGCATTATCTGGTTAAAATCCCTCCAAACAATATCATCTTCTGCTTTGTCCTTAACCATTCCCTATGCTGTGCACCATTCCTATATATTTTCCCCTTCGTAATCGTGGTCTTCCCCCTATCACGATACATTTCAACACTGCATTACCTTACCATTCTAAACCAAAAATAGAACCATCGACTATTGGATACTGAAGTTGTATTAATAGTCAAAGATAGAACAATAAAATCAATAAACAAACAAATACATAATGTTTGAATCAGCTGGCATTTGAAACAGCTTATAGAAACACTGTAGCAGTACTTCCATTAGAAAATGACTGGATTTTAGACCTTTTAACTCTGCCTGTAGGGTAGAGCAGGAGTAATTTTTGACACTGACTCCTGAAATTTTCCCCACCGTCCTCGAACCTTAAGCTTTAAAATGAATCCTCAATAGCCATGCTATCTTTTTCCCAGCTAGAGATATTTCGTGGGGACCAATTCACTTACGGAATTAAATATATAGATTAGCTGTTGGCCTGTCCTAAGTACGGGAATCAAGTAGTCGATTAAAATTGAATATAATTCAGAGCAGATGTCTCGAACTGTATGTAGTATAAGGTCTAAGGTGGGTCTAAGCCTCTAGAACCGTTGCATAATGGCAGTCCAATGAATAAATATTTCCATAGAAACCATTAATTTTATTTATTCGTCAGTTCAATAAATCAATGCAAGACAAGATGTTTCCTTATGTCTAAATTATGACGAGGAAGAGTAAGAAAGTTAAGAGTTTTGACTGCATTTCAGAGAATACCACAGTCAGTAGAAGATCAGTTCTGGAAAATCAGTGAAAACTTGCCATGATTCGTCTATTCTTGCCATTACTGCTTCATACAACCTCACTTGCAGTATCACTATAGGAAGCAACCAAATAGGGACTTCTGAGGAAAATGGAAGTTCATAAAGCTACACAGAAACCAGAATCAGAACTACATTACTACTTTGTGTATTGCTCCAGTAAAGCAAAAAGGATCCTCATAGTTGAAAGGATTGCTCAGAGTAAAGTGCCAAAGGATCTGCTATAGGAAAATGATTGAACATGATGGAATATGTGAGATGATGATAGGATGAGGAGCTGGACTATCTGGGAAACTTCAAGAGGAAGAAATCGAAAAGTTCTGCAGCAACATTGTGAGCTGATTGAAGACAATTTGCGATAGAAAAGGAATTTGCCTGAAGAAGATGAAGAATAATAGTTACAACAAACTTGTCAGTATTAAGTATACTATGTATCTAGTATTAAGTATCTGTTGTACCTAGTGTTAGTATTTTATGTATATTTAATAAAGTATCCGTGCGCTTTCCTACTTCAGCGTATACGGAGCGTCCCCTGGGTGGCGGATAGGGGGAAGGTCGGTGGATCTGCTTGTCAGATCTCCCGGCTAGGTCCGATGGACCCGCTGACCAGAAGTAGGTGCGGTCCTCCATTCATTTTGGGGGTTGTGGGATGGGTACATCCTCCCATGTAAAAAAACCCCTTGAGCATGTTGTGTATATCTAAGGTTAAAAATGTTACTATGTTGTATTATTTGTACGTAGTGTCAAGTGTCTTATGGATCTAGTATTAAAGAATTTCATATGTTAACTATTATAGTGTATAGGATTTATTTCACTCTAAATTATTGAGAAATAGTTTCGTCAATATTAACAACTCTTTATGTATAAACGGTACCCTTCTCAATTAAAACACACTAGTTGCTTTTGAAAAATTATAAAATATTTACAAGAAATTTTGATCATATTGAACCGTTGTGTACAGTTTGAGTATTTCCCTCGGTTACATAATCTTTGAGTTTACTCTTTTGGACCCTTTACGACTGTTATTCGTTTTTAAATATCTCAGTACTTTTCCATTGCTCGATTTCGAGCAACATGTACACTAGTTATTATAATTAGTGTACCGAATTCATAAGAATACCTTAGAAACTTATTAGGCCAATGGGGCTGAGCTCTAGGGAAAATAGGCCTGCGTCAATCTTTGATGTCCTGCTAAATGGCAGCTCAGTTGGTCCGATAGTTCAACTGAATCTCTCTATGTGACATACTCAAAACTTCTAATATTCATAATATTAGTAACGATAAGATCTGTTAGTTTTAGTGCAAATTATGAAGGTCAGTGAAATTAACCTCATCAACACCTAATTCTAACACCTAACAAGATACTAGTCTTCACACCCATCCTTCCCTGTTATTAGTAAATTCTGGCCCAAGCAATGTCACCACATCAAATAATTATAGGTATTTAGTTATCAACAAATGACTATGCAGTGTTACTCTTAACAGTTTATTGTTACTCGAGTTGTTGCCTTGTTATGTTTGATTATGAAGCTGCTACTGTGTATTTTCAATGGTATCCTCTCTGGCATCTACATTGTCTACATAGCATCTACATTGTCTAAATTCTAGCATCTACATTGTCTACATCTACATCTAGATACAACCTTGTACCAGGACCCTCGTCATTCAGGGTCTGCGATAAGAGTACTTGAGGCAATTTGTCACTCAATGCTTCGTTGTAGTCACAAGAACTGCAGAATGGCTCAAGGCTGTGCAAGGGTTCTGCTCGATTTCGAGCACCACCTTTGTGTTCGATTTCTCGGATGTATCTTCTCCTAAACATTTCTGGTATCATTTGTGTACTGTAAGGTTTAGCCTTTATGAAAAGCCATTGGATTCAACAATGAAAGCTACAGTAGATAGGCCTATCTAGTATTTTTGTACCGGTTGGATGAGCTACTCACAGAACGAGCTACTTTTAGAAAATTTCCCTACAGAAAAGAATTTTTTTACCGTGGGTGTCACGGAAATACCACTCGAGGCCGATTTACTATTTCGGAAGTAAAAGAATTATAGTCCACGGTCATAAGAACGTAGTGTATATCTGCGCATTGTATAAAAATAGACTATCAAGTAAGTGCTAACCAAACAGTTTGTTCGTATGCTTACTGTCTCAACAATTAGAAGACATTTGCATTCTGTTTGCTATGAATTATTTATCGATTCGTAAATTCAATATACCTAAAGGTTGAACAATAACCTATTGACAATATGTTAAAGAATACAAATGATATAATTTATTAAGTTTAGTACATGTAGTAAATGACAATGTGGATATTGTGGTGATGGGCATAAATTAGATAATGGCTAAAACCATAAACCGTTGGATAACATTCCACCTTCGTTGACTTTGAATTATGGAATCTATAGATATGGAAGCTAGTTATGGAAGGCTATATATAGGAAGCTATTTATGGAAGGTTATAGAAGGAAGCTATAGATAACAAGACCAGGCTTTGCCTGCTTACATTTTTAAGCGATGCAATTGGCTAGTGAAATAATCCTAATACAATACAGAAAGTTAGAAAAATTACTTTATTCGTTTGTCTGGCCACATTATACGTAACTCAAGAATCTCCATATTTCAAAATATTTCATGTACAATTAGTTAATTTAAAATAACAATTATTATTGCCATCAGGGAAACCTTGAACATGATTGATAAAGACGCCGAACATGAATTAATGTTGGCCAAATATGGTATGAAGTAATTACATTTATCACTAATACTAATATGTAATTTCACTAATGTGTGTAATATGTAATATGCTCATGACTAAGTATGTTTTATCTATGATAATAGCTAAGATATTTTTGTAAACCTAGAACTAACCTCGTGTTCTTATAGTATTTTATAGAAAAAAAAACTTATTATAAGAAAACTAAATAAATTTGTTTCCTATACAATATTTGTTGTTTTTTGTACAATAATTCATTTTATTGCAAATAAAGGTTCGCCATCAATTTCTTTCTGTTATATATCTTCATCTTTTCACAAATATCCTTCAAATGTAATATGAATGGTTTCTAAACAATGTTTATGTAGTTTAATTTAATTTCTGAATATTGAACGCCTTCATATAATTTTGTTTGTTGTAGTAAATCAATTCTCACTCGTCCGCTGTGGATTTACCAAATTAGGCACAGTAAAAGCTCAATTTTTAACACAATTAAAATATTATAATTATTTTCACATTTTTACAACCGCACCATCGGTTGCCTCAGTGCGTTAAAGTCTCCAAGAATTGGTTCACATAACGGTACACCGGTTGGCAAAGCTCATTTTTCACGAACTTGGGTTTCGCCCAACATAGGAAACCTGTTTCTTGATTCGGGTCAGAAAAATAAAACCACAATCGTTAAAAAGTGGTTTTCAGATGTAAACTTCTCCTTCATTTGAAGTTCATTTTTTTGTGACGGTGAGTTTACAAATATAACAGATTATTGTGTACATTTTCCATTAAGATTTAAAAAATGTCGTTTTCAAGAAGTTTTGGGATCTGGAATCTGTTTTTTTTTTCTGTGGGTGTTTTTTTGTATTTCCAGATTTTGCAGGATTGTCTTTTTCTTGTATTGTTTCAAATGATTTCTCAACTTAGTACGGGGTTAGATTATATATCCAGAAAGGTTGTTAAAATATAGTTTGTATTAATCGTGGGGAAATGTCCGTAATAATCTGATAGAAAATTACATAAAATTTGAGTAATCGTATACAGCTTATTTCCTAA